AGTGAGTTTAAGGGTCTTCAAGCTCGTGTCCTAGCTCATAAATAGTGCTTCTATTTATAAGCAATAAGTTTGGAGACTTGTTGTTGATCAGAATTTGAATTTGCATCCTTAAGCTAAACATGTGATTTTTTGACAAAATAAGTTTCAAAGTCTTGTGTACTTGCTAAGATAGAGTGGTTATGCTTTAAACAAGTTTGCTTCTAAATTTGTGGATGGAGTGTGATCAGAGGGAATAAGTTAGAGGCTCAATGTGAACTTTATGCAAAAAGCTTGCTTTACAAGAATGGTATTGTTAACTTTCTTCCCAAAATGGCAATGTGAATTGAATAAAGCTTAAGCCACTTGGATTATAGCTCATTAGTTTTTGTAATCCATTAATTATGGAGTGACAAACAAGTTTGAGGCCTGCAAAGCAAATATTATGCAGCCTAACATTGAAATTGCATTTGTGTTCATCATGAAAATGACCTATAACTCAAGTGACAAAACACCAACTTCATCTCTTCGATTCTCCCTACTCAAGAATGATCTCAAGGAGCTATTGGACATTTTGGAAAGCTTACAATGTGCTCTACAACTCATCTTTGAATTGCTTTTGAAGATTCCCCTTGGAACTATGTGAAAAATTGCCATGAAGTTAGGTCAAAAATCTGCCCAACTTAGGGCAAATTTTCACTAAGTGTTTAGTTTCATGACCCTATGTTCTTGAAATTATAACTTGAGATCCAAGAACTTTTGGAAGAATTTGTATGAGGAAAAGTTGTAGATTTCATGGAGATCTACAACTTTCATGTTGGAATTTTCTCTTGAATCCTCTTGCATCATGGTGAAAAATTGGCTCAAAGTTATGAAAAAACATGAAATTTCCAACACTTAGAAAAATTTCTAAGTGTAGAAATTTTGACTTTTCAAAATGAAATCTTGACTTTTTGATTTCTTGATGAATAAGTTTCATATTTTGACATGTTTTGATGAATTATGATTTTTGGCACTTGAATTTGACTAAAAAGTCAAAGTTTGAATTTTTAGTACACAGTTGACTTTTGATCAGTTGACTGCAAAAATCATCTGTCAATCTAATGGATTTGCAATGTTTTGAATCATGTCATTAGGTCAAAATGATGTAATTGGTCTCTTGAGATAATGCCTTAAACCAATTGACCATTTGCTAGGTCAAAAATCAGAAATTGCCCTTTCTCAGTCAAAACCCTAATTTTGACCATTTTGCCCTTTTCATGATTTAATCAAATTTCTTGAGAATTGTGGTCCAAAATTTATCAAATGATACATATGAGTTTATAATATTGATGTGGATCAAAATTTATGAAGTTTGACTGTAAATTGGTCATAGTTGACTTTTTTCCAATACAGTTGATTTTTAGGTCAGTTGTTAAATTGACTGATCAAAAGTGTGATCCAAGGCTTGAAACTTGGCATGAGTAATCTTGGGGGTCCATAATGGTCCATGAAAGTCATATGAAGCATTGATAGTTCAAAAATCCTTGTGCAAACTCAAACCCTAATTTTTGTCATCAGTGCCTAAGGAGGTGTCTTGAGCTTATCAAACCCTAGTGCAGTCTTGAGTCCAAGGAGATCTTGTGAGAAAATTCTTGATAAGTGAGAGGGAAAATTTTGGGGAACAATAGTTAAGAACCATGTTTTAGCAAAATTGCTGCCAATCCTAAAACCATGGATCTAACACGTAGATCTAGATGCAACAATGTATCCCTCACTACTTGATTTGAAATACCTTGAGGAGTGGGTGGATTAGGTTGAGTGAATGTCACATGAGCGACAACCGTTGCTTTACGTACAATGGCAAAATGAGTAACTTTAGATCCAACCAATGTTTGAGAAGTTAGGAAGTTAGGAACTTGGAAATTCAAGAAATCAAGGTCAATTCAATACTTGAGTAGGTCGAATGCGGTGGATCTAGTGTTTGATGTTAAGAACTCTAATCTAACAAAATGGAGAAAGTTTTGATTTGATGGATCAAAGAGAGAATGAGTAATTATGGAAAATGTAGGAATCTAAAGTCTGTTTTCATAGACGGCGTCAGTGTTCCATTGTGGGAGCATGATTGGTTGAAGAATCGGTGGTTGTGGAGGTTAATAGTAAATTTAAGCTTTCGATGCAGAGAAGGAGGAGCTGGACTACAAGGTTGACACTCCAACGCCCAAGTCAATATATAGAGAAGAAGAGTGAATGAAATTTGAATTTGAAATCGTGTGATGTGTATGGTAGTTATAACAATCTACTATTTACTAGACATGAGATGTAGTGAGCCGTTAAATGTATCTTGAATTTGAATCACCGATACACTTTCCTATGGTAGTTCCCATGCTCTGCGATCAATCTAGACGTATAATAATTATATTCGAATGGTCGACCAATGGTTATTCCATACGGTCCGGGATAATACTATTATTAAAAATAAAATAACACCATTTATAATATATTTTACTGATTAATTTTTAGCTTTTAACTTTTAAAATTAATAATTATCAAACTGTTTAACTTTATTTTTAAAAATTATTTTAAATTTAATTGATATGTATTAGTTGAATTAAATAGATATAAACTATTGATTTAAGATTCAATTTTTACAATAATATTTATATAATTTATATGTTAATGTAAACATGTTGTTGATTTTAATCAACAACTTTTTATAATAAAAAAAGTAATATATTTTGACTTACAATTTACTTCGTTAAATCAAATTTGAAAAATGTCATCGCCAAAGTTTGAACAAGTGATCAAGTATTAGAAATGTAATTCTCAAGAGTTTGAACATGCATTTTGAAATTTTGCTCATTTTTTGTGTGTCAATTTTAGGAGTCCAATTCTTTTCATGAATTAGAAATTTAGCATAAAAAATATATATATTTTAAATTGGTTTATTATAGATAAGCATATACAACATGATATAAATGTCCTCTCCATTTTTTTTTGAGAAAAGAAAATTTTCATTTATGTTTTATGTGTATAAAATTAAATAATTATTAAATATATGTTATACAGATATTTGAGACGAGGTTTGAACGATTTTGACGTAAAAAATCGTCCAAACTGCAAGAGAAAAATATATGTGATTTGGTTTAGTTCGATTGGTGTTTAGAAATAAAATTGAAGCAACCCAAACCAAATCAATATGGTTCGGTTTGATTAGTTCGGTTTTTTTTAATAAATTTATTGAATCATAGACATATTCAGATGACAACATAATATTGTATTTAATCATTCATACACTACTAAATAACAATAAGACTCATCATATTTGAACCACAAATTTCCATTTAATATGTAAAAATCATATTAGACAAAAGTGAAATAATAAACATAAAACAATAGCATAAAACAATATCAAAAATATTATAATGAAATAAAAAATTGAAAAAATGAGAGATTAGTGAAAATGGAAAAGAAAAAACAATAAAGAGGAGAAATGATAGAAAAAAATGTGCGATAAAAACAAAATTGAAAGAGATAACAATAACATAAAAATGAGAAGATGAAAAAGGAAAGAATATAAGAGAGTATAGATTAGAGAAGAAGAGGAAAGTTATATTTGGAGAAGAAGGTGATATAGTGTTATGAGAGATTTGAGAGAGCTGAAACTGAAATCTTAAGTGTAAGAAAGGAAAAATTGTTCGTAATCATAAGAATAGAGCATAATAGGTTTAGTTTTGGGTTAAATGTGAATTAAGTGAAAGTTATGTTATAACACAATGTGGTTTGATTGAGTTTGAAAAATACAAATCACAAAATGAATCAAACCGTACGGTTTTATTAAAATATGACTCAAACACATCCAAAATAAATGAGATTTTTTTTACAGTTTTTGATTTGATTTAATTTAATTACAATTTTCTATTAAACTGATTCGATTTTAAACACCTGTATCATGTCACATCTTAAACTAAATGTGTCATTCATGTAAGTGTAGCTTTGATTTGGGTTCTAATCCAAATTTCAATAAATAATATTTTAACTTTTATTTTACAGTTTTAATCAGTCAAATCAAATTTTAAAAATGTTATTTTTAAGACTTGAACACGCAATCAAGTTCTAAAAATATCATTTCCAAGAGTTTGAACATGAAATTTTGAAATTCACTAACTTTTTTGTCAATTTTATTTACCTTAATCATCGAAAATTATTAGAGCCTAATACTTCTCAGAATTACAAAATTAACATAAAAATAAAATATTTTTGAATTAGTTTGTTATAGATGAACATATTAATGTATCTCAATACCTCAAATAATTCAAGTCTAGTCTCAACCATATTGATGTAATGTTTGTTTTCTTTCATTTAATTCAAATTTTATATAAAAAAAATTGCAAAATCAAATCAACACAAAGCCAAACACTTATATTCCATCTAATATTTTCCATAAAGTAATCAAACCAATCATTTTTTCACCTTTATAGGTGTATCTTTCATTGCCTCACAATAATGCTTTGACACTCTCTCTCTCTCTCTCTTCTATCCTTCCTTCATTCATTCATTCATGGATTTCTCTTTCTCCTTTCTTCCAATCTTATCTAATTTTATCGAATCATCATCCCAAACCCTTACAATCATGAACATCTTCCAAATCCATCAAGAAATTTTACATGTCCATGACAATTAAAAGGTGAGTTTCTTTGTGTCACACTTTCTTCAATCTCATTTCTCATAACAAATGCTATAAACCAAAATAAGGAAAATATTTTTTTTTTTTCAATTCATTCCTTTTTCAATGTTTATTGATGTTTTTTTTTCCAACAAAAGTTGTAACTTCAAAAATATTTAAGTTTGCACAATTTTCAACATATGTAAGTTTGTGTATTAATGAAAATTTAACATTAAAATAAAACACTTAGACTACGTTTACTTCACGTCAATTTTTTTTTGAAGGAATAATCAATTCTTCAACATAGAACAACATCTCAAAAGAGAGACTATGAGAAGAAAACCAAGTAGGAAAGGAAGCACAAAGAATTGCTTTCAAAATGAAAAGTAGAACATCAAAATATGATTCTATTTCTCTCTCCAAGACTTTTCTTCCACATGCACTTCATCTTCTACTTCCTATAGTTCTTTTACCAATTGTTCTTCTTTGTTTATACTTATACCCTCTCTACCATACAAAATCTCAAACAAATGAGCTTCACTATGCCACTGTTTCTCCTCCTCCTCCACCTTATTCAGGTATGTCCATGCATAATTTTATCCTCTTTGAGCTACTTCATCGATCTCTTACTATATGTTATTAGCTTAAATCCTAACATCTCTTTGATTATATTTATTTAAACTATATTGAGTATTGGAATATATAATTCCTTGTAACTAATAGCTTTGTTGTTTATTGGAAGTAAATGATATACACAAAGTTGATGATCCTTCATGTGACTACTTCAATGGAAAATGGATCCATGACAAAACAGGTCCATTATACAATGGAACAACATGTGTTACAATCAAAGAAAGCCAAAACTGTATCACCAATGGAAGACCAGACTCAAACTACCTTTACTATAGATGGAATCCAACTCAATGCAATCTTCCAAGGTTTGAACCAAACACTTTTCTCCAACTTAGTAAAAACAAACACATATCTTTTGTTGGTGATTCTTTAGCTAGGAACCAATTTGAGTCCCTTCTTTGCATGCTATCGTCTCTTTCGAAACCCAAACCGGTTCATCATAAAGGTTCACATTGGTGGCATTTTGAGTCTCACAATGCAACTCTTTCTGTATATTGGTCACCCTTTCTAGTACAAGGCGATGCAAGATCGAAATTAGGGCCGAGTTTGAACACGATTCATTTGGACCGCGTTAACGGGAAATGGGAGAAGGATATGGATGGAATGGACTTAGTTGTGTTATCATTTGGGAATTGGTTTAATGTTCCTTCGATTTATTATGAGAAGGGTTTGGTTATAGGATGCTTAAATTGTTCGAGTTATGGTCTTAATTACACTGATATTGGATTTTATGTTCCATTAAGAAAGGCTTTAAGGAAAAGTTTGAATAGGATAATTGAGAGGAGAGTTGGTAAAAGAAATGAAATTGGTGTGATTGTTAGAACTTTTTCACCTTCTCATTTTGATGGTGATTGGGATAAATCTGGTACATGTTCAAAGAAAGAACCTTATGAGAATGGAGAGAAGGAAATTGGAGAGATGGAAAGTGAGATTAGAAGGGTTGAGATAGAAGAAGTGGAAAATGCTAAGGTGAAAGCAAGAGAATTTGGAGGGGTAAGATTTGAGGTATTGGATGTAACTCAATTGGCATTGTTGAGACCAGATGGTCATCCGGGTGCTTACATGAATCCTTTTCCATTTAAAAATGGTGTTCCAGAGCGCGTACAAAATGATTGTGTTCATTGGTGTTTGCCGGGAGCTATAGATACATGGAATGAGATTTTTCTAGAGATGATGAAGAAGTGGGAATTGGAGGGACAACAATGGAGTGAATTGTGAGAGATTGATGTTATCTTGTTAATATAATGTTTTCACGGAAAGATTGTGTTTATTTTCCTTTTTTATATGATCTTCTTCTTCCATATTTGGGAGAGGTTTTTGTTAATAGTTGTTAGAGAAGGAAAATGTTTGGGACCAATATGTGGAAATTAAATTTTTGATGTACCGTATTCTTGTAAGTTATAATTTGCAATCCATAAAAATGATTTTCATATTAAAAATTTAGTATTTTAATCCTTTAAGGTCATAAGCAAATGAAGTTGCCATTTGAATCACAGTCCTTCTATTGCGTTTACATTTGAAGAAACCATTACTTGCAAAACAAGTAACAAGTGATATGCTTAACACCCACTTACATATTTTAGGTAATAATATCATGTAAATTTAAATGATATGCTTGAGAGTCACTCAAGTTATTCAATCATTTCTGAGCAAGTAGAACGGTTGAATTCCTAGTTTTCAATTTGCCAAAGAAATAAAGATCCAAATTTTGTAACAAATGTAAATTAACGACTTTGTTTAAAAAATGTTAGTTTAGCAGATCATAAACAATACACAACTACATAAATATTTATTGTTAATATTATCATGTTTATAAGTTATCCTCAAATATCTTTTTCATACAAAACAATAAGATCGTGTATCTGATTTTGGTTAGAATGTATTAAGATGGTGGTGGTGGTTATGATTATAATGAAATGTAAAACTATTGCCGTTTATAAGATGTCATTCTTGTTTCTGAATACCACCATAATTTAATAAGATCGTGGTTTTTGAACGTTATTGTAAATAACAATTTTATTGAGGTATTAGATCTTTTAAAACAATTAAGGTTGTATAATATGGTGAAGAATCACATGGTATATGAATCTTGTGATTTGGCAAACCCAAAATGTCCATGCATGAAGAATGAAAAGTGTTCTAAGTTTTATCCAAAGAAGTTTCAAGATGTTACCATAGTTGATCAAGATGGATCTCTAATTAATAGAAGAAAAGATAACAACTATATAATCGAGAAGAATGAAATCAAGCTTAATAGCAGTCATGTTGTGCCACACAACCCAAGTTTACTAATGAAATATGAAGCACACATCAATATGGAGTAGTACAATCAGAGTACTTCAATTAAATATCTCTTCAAGTACATCAACAAGGATTCTGATAGAATATAAGTTGTTATTATTCCAACTAATACTACAGGTGACAAAAATGTTGACGAAATCAAGCAATACCTTTATTGCAGATATGTTTTTGAATACCATAATTCATTAAGATCGTGGTTTTGGTAGTTTTTGAATGCTATTGCAAATAACAATTTTGCTGAGGTATCAGATCATTTGAAACAATCAATGTTGTATAATCTGGTGAAGAACCACATGGTACATGGACCTTGTGGTTTGGAAACTCCAAAATATCCATGCATGAAGAAATGAAAGTGTTCTGAGTTTTATCTAAAGAAGTTTCAAGATGTTACCATATTTGATCAAGATGGATATCCGATTTATAGAAGAAGGGATAACGACTATACATTTGAGAAGAATGAAATCAAGCTTAATAGCCTCCATATTGTGCCACACAATCCAAATTTACTAATGAAATATGAAGCACACATGAATATGAAGTGGTGCAATCAGAGTACTTCAATTAAATATCTCTTCAAGTACATCAACAAGGATTCTGATAGAAGTTCAATAGTTATTATTCCAACTAATACTACAGGTGAAAAAAATATTAACGAAATCAAACAATACCTTGATTGTAGATATGTAACCCCAAGCAAAGCACGTTTGAGAATTTTTTCTTATTCTATCCATGGTAGGAAACCACATGTTGAAAGATTTGTTTTCACATGGAAGGAGAGAACTTGGTATACTACAAAGATTTTGTACAAATCAGAAATGTCCTTCTTAAGGCGAGTGTAACTAAGTCAATATTTACTTCATGGTTTGTGGCAAATAGAGAATATGAGGAGGCCAAGTTATTGACATGTGGACAATTTGTGTCAAAATTTGTTTACGTGAAGAAAAAAAGATGCTGGAAGCCAAGGAAACGATGTTACACAATTAGTAGATTAATTTAGTTGCATCCTGTAACACCCCAACTTAGAATTGTGTTGCTTATATGTTTGTTTATGAATATTTGTGATTTATTGCGTTTATTAGAATATTTAGAAGGGGTGTAGGTCCTCGAGTTAGAAAATAAAATAGATTAATTAAATAATGGGTTATTGTTGTTAGTAATTAAAATAATAAAGAAAATAAAATAAATTAGAATGTGTAGAGATTTTAAGGGCGTTAAGGTAATTGCATGAAAATAAGTGAGGGCATATGAGAAAAAGCTGTTAGAACAAGATTTGAATTCTGCAGTTAATCTCTGGATTTTGATGATAAAATACATATATTTTATATGTAAATAATTTTGATTCTAATAGTTTATTAAGTGTGCAGATTAGAAGTTCTAATTGATTCAGGAATGTTGCTTGAAGAATCATAAAAAATACACGAAGTACGCATCAAAAATACTATAGCATCCGCTTCTGAAGAAGCATCAGTAGTACTGAAGAATGCTGAATCTTCGCCAGAAAAAAGATCCCAACGTGTACTTCTCAATAGGTTAGTGCTTCATAAGTTACAAGTATTCAAGAATAAAGAATTTCTATTAGAGCTACATCTCCAAGATCAGAAAAGAAGATTGCACCAGAAACAAGATTTCATGTCAAAGATCAGAAGTCAATATTTATTCGTCAGAGGAGCTATTGCTTCTAACTCTGAAGAGAGAGTCAAGGTTCTGAACACATCAAAGGAAATCATCTACTTCCGAATCAGAAGTCAAGATTTGTTCATAAGAAAATTAATGCTTTTAATTCTGAAGACAAAGTCAAGATTTTGAAGACTCGGTTACTTCATGGAATATGCGCATATTACTTTACATCAGAAGTATTTCATCAGAAGTATTCCATCAGAAGAAAGAACAAGGAAAGTTAGATCTTCTGGACTAATTACTATTCTACATCATATAGTCCAATCAGAAGACAAGATCAAAGGAAAGTATATCTTATGGACTCATCATTACTCTACATCATATAGTCCATCAGAAAACAAGATCAAAAGATGATATCTTCTCAAGCCAACGCACTTCATCATAAGTAACATCCATCAGAAGACAGTATCATCAGAAAGATGTGCTATAAGAGTTAGTACAAAGGTACAATTACACATTCCACTCAACTGGATGTACTGTATACTACTTATCTCCCATGATTGTTTCTTACCGTTGACAGCTGGCAAGATGAAAGTGACGTGTGTACTACTACAACAGTATACTTCCTCAACGCCTATATGAAGGATCAAAATTTTCATTTGAAAGCTACAAGACAATATAGGAAGACTTGAACACAAGAACAATAATGCTTCCAAAATCAAAGCAAGAAGAAGAAAAAGTTTAAAACACAAGAGTTGTTGCTCATTATTATGTTGATATTACTATTTGCTAGAACAGAAGAGTTTTTGCTCATATTTGTGTTGATATTACTATTTTCTAGAATACAAGAGTTGTTACTCATTATTGTGTTATTATTGTAAGTTGTTTGAACACAAGAGTTGTTGCTCATTTTATGTTAAACAATTTTTACTTAAACATTTGTGTAATCCGCTTGTAAGAAGCATCTTGTAAAAACATTGTTCAATTGTATGTTGATTAAGTCCTTTTCTAAGGCATAGAGAAATCTCCTTCAAGGGATCGGGTAGGTCAGGAGTCTTAGGGAGTCAGTGATCGTTATATCTCTTAGGGGATTGGGTAGGTCATAATTCTTAAGGGATAACTAACAGGTTATCATTGTTGTTGTTAGTCACTGACGGGTAGCTCGTGCATTTGTTGGTCATCGGCGGGTAGCCCGTGCAATTGTAATCAGTTTGGTTATAAGGTATTAAGTCATTTTCTAAGGAAAAATCACCTTCTAAACAAAAAAGTTTTTGAAAACCTAATTCAAGCCCCCCTTTATTGTGTTTTTCTTAACCTTTAATTGGTATCAGAGCTCCGACTCTGTTATTTATTTTCTAATCAAACACTTAACCGTGTAGAGTGATCTAGTGTCACAACAACCTTTTGAATGGCTGCTGCTAACACAAACGATGGAGATAGATACAATGTTAAACCTCCTATTTTTTATGGAGATAAATTTGAATATTTGAGAGATAGAATAGAAAGTTTATTTCTAGATTATGATATTGATCTCTGGGAAATTGTTACAAATAGTTATGAAGCACTTGCCACTCCACTTTGGATTCCTATTCCCATGAACAATATGAGTGCATATCAGAAGCGCAACTTTAAGAATCATCACAAAGTCAGAACTATCCTTCTCAGCATAATCTCGTACAATGAATATGAAAAGATCACAAACAGAGAAACATCAAAGGAAATTCTTGATTCACTCAGAATGACACACGAAGGCAATGCACAAGTTAAAGAAACTAAGGCATTGCCCTTAATTTATAAATATGAATCCTTTAGAATGAAAGATGAAGAAAAGTTTAAAGCTATGTTCTCAAGGTTTCAACCCTTGGTGGCAGGACTTAAGGTTATGGACAAAGGATATTCTATTGTTGATCATGTCAAGAAAATCATCAAAAGTCTTCCCAAATGATGGAGACCTATGGTTACTGCTTTAAAGCTCTCTAAGGATCTTAACATATAACTCTTGAAGAGTTAGTTAGTTCACTTAGAAGTCTAGGAAGAAGAAATTAACACAGCGTGTTACATTCATGATATAATCTCCATAAGACCTATTCTGGACAAGACTCCATATGAAGTGTGGAAGAACAGAAAGCCCAACATTTCGTATTTCCATCCATTTGGATGTATTTATTTTATGCTTAACACCAAAAAACATCTGAACAAGTTTGACTCTAAAGAAAAGAAGTGTATTTGTTAGGATACTCTGAACGCTCAAGAGGCTATAGAGTATACAACACAGAAACACAGATTGTAGAAGAGTCAAT